ATCGTGCTCTTCATTAAACATTTTTCAAGCTATCACAGCAAGTACTTTTAATAATCATTTTCAAGTTTACATTTCAACTTCTAATATATCTGCACAATAGTTAATTTTGCTTTCTGTAAAATGTAATAAAAATTAAGGATAGTCTATGCACTTTACTTGCTCGGTTACGTTCTGGGAGAATCCTTTAACGCTAGTGCCCGTGTCCCTATTTGACGATATCCCAGTTTCTGGACATCTGGAAATTTTCTTAACACAGCATCAGATTCAAATGACATTAGGAAAGATGAAGCTGTGCCTCAGAGACTGTTAGGTCTTTCTTCAACAGCAGCAAGTACTGTTGACTGCAAAATCTAGGCTTTTATGTTCGCTGATATAGCAACCTTAATGCTTGGAAATAAAACTCTCTCTAGGAAGCAGTGGCTGATATTCATAGAAAGCTTACACAGTGGCTAGACCATGTACAGCCCACCTGATGGTTTCGAGGAGAAGCACTCATTTAAGTTCTACAGAGCTAAGCAGAGGTTTTAGAAAAACACTTGAAAGGTACCACAGGGGAGACACTGAGTGTCAAGCAACAACTGGATTGTTTTTCTGGGACAAGACAAACCTCAAAAAGGTCTTTTGGGCACAGAGGGCATTTGAGCAGGCAGCATGGTCACTCAGTGGTTATCCCCGCTGCCTCACAGTGCCAGGACCCAGGTTCACGTCAAGCACCGGATGACTGTGCAAAATCCACACAGACATTCTCCCTGTGTCTGCATGGGTTTCCTCCGGGTACTCCGGTTTCCTCCCACAGTCCAAAAATGTGCAGTTTAGGTGGATTGACCATGTTAAATTGCCCATAGTGTCCAGGGATGTGTAGGTTACTTGGATTGGTCATGGGAGGTGCAGGGTTGCAGGGATGGGGAGGGTCTGGGCGGCATGTTTTTCAGATGGCTGGTGTGGACTTGTTGGACTGAATGACCTGTTTCCACACTGTAAGGATTCTATAAACTAGAATTGGGCCCCCGATTTAAAAATTTTCCTTGTTTGTTTTAGGCGAGTGTATGGATCATCCATATCAATGCAGCAAAACTGACAGCAGACCTTCAAAATAAAAATTCTGTTGGATGCTTTTTTTAAATTGCTGAAATTGGTAAAAATTCATCCTATGGTATTAAGATGCCCCCGTTTAAACAGATCAAGGAAATCCTGTTTGGATGCAAAATTATGTTGTGAACATGTGAAGTATAACAATTGCATCAATATGCTGTCTTCAGCCACTGAATAAGAACAATTACAGCAATTTTGCATTGTGAACCCATGTTCATTGAATACCGAGTTAATCCACATATTCTGAGTAAACTGCAAGTGCATTTTGCTTCACAGCAACCCAGAAGGAACCACAGGACACTCAATTTCTTCACTTAGGACATGTAGACATGTTAAAGAAAATGTAAAGTTAACTTCAAAATGAACTGCCACAATGCAAAGAAAATTGAGAGATTTTAATCCCATTCGTAAAATGGATTAAAGTTCAGATACCAAAGAAGAAACAGCTAGTACATAGCACTATCCAGTCTCCCATACTGACTTACTAATCAAATTATCATACAGATGAGCACTGAAATGCTCATTCAAGTGACAGTAGAATGGAATATACCTTAGCAGCTACTTCAGCGCTTATTTCTTCTTGTGTTTCTGTCAATCGTTTCTTCGCAATGTCTGTTCTTCTGTCACAGTCAACGATAAAACTTTCAAGATGTTCCATGGCCTAGGGAAAGGCAAAAATCTCATTTGTATCGATGCAGAAATCAGTACAACAGTATTTTTTTTCAGGTTTGGCAATACAATCCATTTATTCCTGAAAGAGTGCATCCTAATGAATACAAATAGTAGCAAGGAATGTTTAATGGTTTATCAATGACGGCTCAAAAATCTCAAATGTGCACCTGGAACCAGGGTAACAGGAGCTATGAAAAGAAATGAACTGAACAGGATTACATTTTTGGTTTATCCTTTTGAATTTTGAGAGCTCAAATGTTTGAAAATATTTCTAATCAGACTGGTTGCCTCATTGAAATACCAAAATGAACTAATATCAGCAATAATCCCAAATTAATGAGAACATGGCATAGATAGAGTGGATAGTCAGAGACCTTTTCCCAGGGCAGAAATGACTATTACAAGGGGGCATAATTTAAGGTATAGGGGAGATGTCAGAGGTAGGTTCTTCACACAGAGAGTGGTAAGCATGTGGAATGTGCTGCCGGCAGTGGTAGTGGAGTCAGATACAATAGAGACTGTTAAGCGACTCTTGGATAGGCACATGGAGGATAGTAAAATGTAGGGTATGCAGGGCAGATTGATCTTAGTAGGATAAAAGGTCAGCACAACATCGTGGGCTGAAAGGCCTGTACTGTGCTGTACTGTTCTATAGCTTTTTAGTTTACCTGTGGATTTAAATGTATCCAAATAGCTGACTAAAACAAAGAAAATTAGATGTTCCTGCTTTAAGTGTCAGGATAGCAAGCTACAAACACAAAAATAAAAGTGTGTTAAGTTCTACAATCAAAAGCTGAGAAATAAATATGGTCCACTTAATATTAGTATTCCTTGTTCAGCACCTTGCATGGTAGAAATGCCTGGGGTTATGGCACTGGACTATAAACCCAGAGACCACAAACAAACTGAACCACTGTAAATTGTGAAACTGAATCCAACAAATTTGATAACTTGTGGGCTGGAAGCATGGAGACCCAACTGATTTGCAAATATCCAGAGAAGGAAAACTTTCAGTTGACTTGATCCAGCTTACTTATTGTTCTCATAGCACTCGCTTGTTTAATTTAATTCCTCTTTCCTAAATCAGTCCTTTTAAAAGAGCTGAGGCTGAAGCTTCACAGATTTTGATATTCAAAGGAGAATGAGACAGATTAAAATACCTGTGGGTATAAGGGCCACCTTCGTGTGCGTATGGAATTGTTGTCCTGTAGTCAGATTTGTTTATACAGGGCAGTCTCAATTCCTTTTTCCCCACACAGTCCTATCTTTGCATGTATCGAGGTCATGCATTTTGTTGTGTTGGTGAAATCTTTCTTGCAAATGGTGCTGCTCGCACACAAAATAACAATTCAATTAGTCCCAATTCCCAAGTTTTTCACTATAGCTCTGTAATATTTCTCTTTGAAGTATTTATCTGATTTTGTTTTGAAATGCATTACTGATGGGATGGTGGAAATAATCAGGCAACACATTCCAAATCCTAACTACTATTGCAAAGCAAAGATTTTCATCATGTTGTTCGGATTCTCTTGTCAATCACCTTGGAGTTACTATCCCTCTCTGTCAGTGGAAAGAGCTTATTCATATTTATGTTAGCAGAATCCGTAACAATTTTAATCAATAATCAATTTTAAACAATATTCTCCTAGGGCCCTGCTTTCTCCACTCTATCTGCATAGCAATGATTCAATCACCAGCTCCATTTCAGCAAATCTAATCTGAGCCCACTCCAAAGCTTTATTCATTCTTTCTAGAGTACAGTGCCCAGAATTAGACACAATATCCCAGCAGGGGCCAAACTGGTGCTCTCACTGTTTAAGCATAACTTCCTAGTTTTGTAATCTATGCTGTTACTTATAAAGCCTAGAATTTCAGTTATTTGGATGCTTGTGTTAAGCTGTTTATTTACCTTCAAACATTCACATACAAACACCTCTAGATTTTCCTGTTCTTGCATTCCCTTTGAAAGTGCACCATTCAACTTGATTTGCTTTCCCTCATCCTTTCTACCAAAATGCATTACCTCACTTGGTGTTGAATTTTATCTTTCCACTTGCCAGAAACATGTAATTTCATATTTATTGGGAGCAGTATTAAATTCAAATAAAGGAGTATAGAAGACTTCATTTGTCACTTTTCCCATAGTAGTTCAGCACTAAGGAGTGACTGTTTCAAAGGGCACTACATCACAGAAGTGTTGTTGCCTTCTTCTATGCCAACCAGCAATCATAGCACCAGCTCTCCAAATGAGCAGAAATTTCTGAAGAAGGGTCTAGGCCCAAAACGTCAGCCTTCCTGCGTTCATCCAGCTCTACACCTTGTTATCTCAGATTCTCCAGCATCTGCAGTTCCTACTATCTCAGAAGTACTATACTTCTGCCTTTACCCCACATCCTGAATCATGTTGCAGATCTATAGTCACACAATGCTGCAAGGGCAGCAGGCTCACTCTCATAAATCATTTGCTTACCAGCTGCACGTTCAACATCATTAAGATCATTAATGATACAATTTTTATATTCAATATTTAATTATTAAACTAAAATAAAATTTACAACAGTGATGAGATTTGAACACATAGCTGCGAGTTATCAGTCCAGTAGATTTAGATACATTAGCCCTTTATAATCTGTTAGATTATTAGTTCAATGAAATAAACTCTACACCACCTTGTTAGAATAAAAGGTGCAGACTTAAATTTATATGTTTAAGTTGATGATTTTGTTAACATTTTGTTTCAGAGATATTTGGTAATGATGGAAAGGCACAGTTTAAATTTTTTTTTTAAATGTATTTCTTGATAGAATATGGCCATTTAGCACAGTTGACATTTGGTTCAGCATAGCATGGGTTTGATTCCTATTCCAAGCTGAGGATTCTAGAATTAATGCCTCCTTAGTCTGCCCAAGTAAGGAAGGCAACGCCAAAACACTAAGTGAGAAAAACTACTCAGGAAAAAGGCTCAAGTCGCACCATCAACAGACAATGAGCCAAGGACCTAGCTTCTTGATATTAGTTACAAAAAAAGTTGTCAAAATAGACGGCCAGTGAGGATAGAGTTACTCCCATATTACACAATTTTAATGTCTTCGTTAGAACACAGGTTCAATGTTTTCCATTACGTCAATCAGAAAAAGCTTAATTAATTCATACTCAAATTTTTGGTAACTCACATCCAGCTCAAAGAATAAATCTCTTTCCTTTGCAGCAATTTCATAGTCGGCTCTCAGTGCGAGGTCATGAATCTTTGTGCATTCTCCCAGGTCCATGCGCTAGGAAATAGAGAATTCTAAAATTAACTCCAGTTTAAAATTCAAGTCCTGTGTGCTTACTTGCAAATGTACAAGGTACAGTACTTTACTAACACAAGGTAATGCTTGATATTACAGCTTTGTTATTTAGAGCAGCAAAACCATAGAACTGTTAAATTTAAAAAGATTACCTGGCCTATTATTAACCATTAATAAAGTGGACTGTAAAGGTCCAACAGTCAGCATCTATACAATAACCAAAATACTAACTCCACAGAATCCGCTAAATTTTCATATTGCTTTTTTGTAAGCTTGGTCATTTATAACAAAATATTCAACATTACACAGGTTGCATAATTTAAAAAATTCTTTTAACAAATTAAGAGCAACAATCCAGCAGTTCATAAAAAGAATCAATAATCTTATTATAAAATTGTGATGTTATCTATTGAAAATCCATTTAAGAACACCCTATTGCCTGTCAACAATGAGCATTTATATAAATACTTGGAAAGTATAAATCAGACCAAAATTAAGGGATACATAATGAGAGGCAATCAAAGCTTTGGTGAAAGATGCCAGCTTTAAGGAATATCATAAAGGGATGAGAATGCGAGTAAGTGAAAGATGCAGAAATTCATTAGAGGAATTCCAGAGTTTAAGGCAGCTACAAGTGTAATTTCCAAAATGACAAAAGAAATGGTGATTCAGAATGTCAGAGTTGGTAGAATACCAAGTACTTAGAGGATTGTGCAAAATTGAGGAGGCCCAGATTTGGAAACAAGAATAAGTCATTGAGACCCTCAAAACTATACCACAATTCAAGTGAATGATAGGTGGAGGTAAGGTACAGCCACCTATCTGCCCTGGAACTGTATCTCTATATACCTTTCTCAAACAAAACTCAATGAATGATAACATTTCAATTTTCAGTTCAGCTAACCGGAATCGCTTTGCAGGGAAATGGCAATCAAGGTAAACAAATGACTGTGAGAATTTGAAAAACAGAAGCACATATGTGCTGCGAGACACAGGTATATCAACAAGACATATAATAAATGGTCGCTATATGACCAAAGCCATAAACAATGTTCTGGATGTGCTCAAACTGGTAAAAAAGGTGAAGCTCAGGTAGGACACCATTCAAATAACTAAGCCTGCTGGTAACTAAAGCAAGGCAGTGTCATATCATATCATAGAAGTGGAAGTATTTACAGGAGATCAGGGCTTAAAACTTCAACTCCGGTTCAAAGGACAAGCACAATTTTACTCTTAATTGACAATATTCCAATTTTGATGTAAGAGACAAACTGCCTTTATCCTAAATAACTTAACACGCATCATGACTGCAATGTTGCATTATTAGATATAGCGAAATGTGAAATTATAATGGGGTAAAACAACCACCAGGTGTATTTCTATCTTCAAGGTAAAGACAGGAAACACATTCCAGAATAGTGGGGCAAGAAAGGCCTTATGAGAATGTCTAATGGGGAACTAGTTTACAAGACTTGATGATCTGTACTCAGAATTTCTTTTAAAAAAGTTCAATGCAGAAGCAATGAGTCAGAAACGTTATCTTTTGGAACAGTTTCCAAGGATTGGAAGGGAACAGACATAACCTGTTGAAAGGGGATAGGAAGTAACATAGAAGAATGGATCAATGATTGATAAATTGGGCTGAACATAGAAAATAAATTTAAGTTTATAGCCTACAATCCTACAAGGGATTTCTCATTCATTCTTGGGACGTCAGTGTTGCCCTCAAGGCCATCCCTGATTACTCGAGGTAGCAGTGATGAACTGCTGGAGTCCACGTAGTGTAGGGACATCTGCACTGATGTTAGCATGTTCCAGGATTTAAGTCAGTGATAATGGAGCAATGGCAACATAGGATAAAATGGTGATCTGTATGGGAATTTACAGATGCCATTGTCATATGCCTGTTATCTTTGTGAGTGGTAACGCTTGGGCACAGCCAAAAGAGTTGGCATTGGAAGATTAAGTTGGCTGATGGAGTGTTGGTCAAGCAGGTAGTTTCATCCTGGATAACATCAAGCTTGAACTGCAATCATCCAGACAAGTGTGCAGTATTTCACCATAGTCCTGACTTATGCTTTGTAGACAATGGACAGGCTTTGGGATATCAGAAAGAGAATTCCCAGCTGTGGTTTGTTTTTATACTGCAAGGATCTATTATGTGACCTCAGCAATTTACAATCTATATTAAACAACTTAATTGAGGGAACTGAGTTAGTATATCCTGATTTGTTGATGACAAAAAATTAAATGGGAAGGTAAGTGATGAAAAGGATTCTGAATGGCCACAGAAGAATACAAGACAGTTAGGGAGAGTGAGCACACAACTAGCAGATGACATCTAATGTAGTACAGCATTAAGTTACCCACTTCCTTAGGAAAATATAAAAAAACATTTTTAGAACTGTGATCAATCAAGTGTATACAGGACAGTGGTGAGGCCATACCAGGAGTACTGCGTCCAGTTCAGGTCTCCTCATCTAATAAGGTGTATTTGTCCCAGAGGGAGGGCAATAAAAATGTTCTTGAAATGCAGGAATTGTTATGGAGGATATGGAGTAGACTTGGCCTAAATTCCTAGGAATTTACAAGAATGAGAAACTATCCAATTGAAACGTACATTTTTAAAATTAATTAAAAGGGTAAATGAATATCCTGGCTCGGGAATTCAGAGCATGGGTAACAGTCTCAGCATGGAGGGTTTGGCCATCAGGACAAAGTTAACGAGAAATTCCTCCAACGACTGTAAAGCATTGGAATCTACCCCAAGGAGCTGTAAAGTCTCAGTCACTGAGAGCATTCAATTCAGTGGTCAGTAAATTTTGTGTTCCTAAGAGTAATGAAAGGATACAGGAAACTGAGGGAAGGTGGAACTGAATGGTAGAGCAAGCTCAAAGGACCAAATAGCCAATTCCAGTTTCTTATTCTTATGACTTTATTATGGTTAAAAATTACAAGAGTATTGGCACACAGCTAGGCATAAATCTGATGGTTAAAACCATTAAACAGGAATTAGATTTTCACTAAGTGCTTTAGCTTGATTAAACCTGACAAATTCTTCCTCCAGCACTACAGCAATGCTACAGCAATGTTCAACCAGTAGTTGCCATGTTCAAACCCCATTTAATGACTGGGATGTCACACTTATTTTGCTTAAGACATCTGGATAGAAGATTGTGTCATTGAAAAGTGGTTAATTGGATGTCAGGGGCAGCAGTCATCTAACAGCGCTCCCCATTGACCTTAAAGAAAACTGCTCATAAAGACTCAGTGATCTCAGTGCGGCGAAATTCCATTTTCCTAATGATAGAAAGTTAACATTATAAGAGTTGGGAGCAGAAGGAAACCGTACATCAGAAGTGTTAGATTAAACAGAAACTGTGTATCAAAATATTGCATTATCTATTCTTTTCTGCATTCATCCAAATGAGTAAGAATAAGAACAAAACTACATACCGTTCCAGAAAGAATATCATGTGGACAGCAACCAAGAAGATGACTCTTGCAAACTCTATCATCTGAGAATTTCACACGCTGTCGTGTTGCATCTCCTGAAACAAGGCAGTTTAAAGTTGATGAGCTCAAGATTGAACAGAGTGCTTTTGAATAAATGGACTTATCACCAGGCTGCTTTACAGCCAACTTACTGTGCTAATGCCTTCTTGTGTGTAATCATGTGACTACCTCTCCATCTTTACTGCAGAACAGGAACATTCTTCACAGAACATATACAGAATTCATTAAGCATCACCTTGCGAATGCACTCTTCTTAAATCTTGGACCTCTGGAATGTTGTACTCTGATCAGACCACAGAAAATGCCATAACAGGCATGCATGTTTCTTTTAAAAATTGTAAAAATATGCCTAAACAGGTTTAAGCACTCAAAGAGAACGATGGGTAGCTTGCTTTACTGACAGCATATTGCAAGCCCAACACTTTCAGAAAAAGAACTCAGGTTAGGATTTTTATACACACTGTGAGCATCCATAAGGTACCACCCAGCATCTTCAATCTTTGCGCCTCATCTGCAGAGATTCTGACTTGCTGGAAAAAATTTAAAAGGGGAAGGTTTTCTGGGCCACACCTGTAGTAAGGTAGTTACAGGAATGATACAAAGAATAAAGGTAAAGTTTAACTGTTATGTGACAATTTAATGCCATTGTGTATATAAATGTGTAATATTCAAATATCATTCCTTTATCCTTGCAAGTATTCCAATACCATTGTAGTGTTTCCCACTGTATGCAGTTTATATTTAGTCTCAACTATGTTGTTTATATTAATTACTTCTGAAAGCAAACACTTTTTTGATATTCATAACAGCTTTAAAAATTATTCATGACTCACGGCTCGATGAACATGAGGCTTTTCTGCAACTCCCTTGCAGATTGATGTAGGCAGGCAAAGATACATTGAACCTTTATAAATAAAACAAGGGGCCACAATTGTTCAGTTTGTATGAATAGAGATATGGGAAGCAAATTTCAAATGCAACTAAATCAAACATAACTGAGTTTCCTGCAAGAAAACTGAAGTTAGGTGCAAACCACAAATTTGCACTCAATTGTCAAAATCAAAAAAAAAACCTAAGAAGGAACATACAGGTAACAGCTAGTGACTTTTCAATTCAGAACAGGAAACAAAGGACAAAAAGCAAGCATTTTGACATTACTGCTTCTTTTCTCCTACCAAGTAAGATAACACCAGTGTATCTTAAAAACTATTTAAAGCAGACTGTTTTGAAAGGAGCTGCATTCTCATTTACCACAGAGGTTCAAAACCTACTAAGGACCCTCCATCCCACCCAAGTATAAATTTATTGAATCAATCTTGCTCTTCTGAGAAGTTTAATTTTTAAAATTAATCACATAAGTTAACTATTCTAAACATTGTTTTTAAAAATTTTCCATCAGACAAAAAAATTGATCTGTGATACAATGCATGGACGTGGTGAAAATAAATCAACAGTACCCAAGTGTAACCATCACTGAGATAAAATGAGCACTAAAATTGGTCTCCTGCCATTTTTTGGGATGGTGGTGGAGGAGTTTGGTGGTTAGAAACAAAAAGTCAATGTGAATTTGTTTGGAAAGGGGTTTCTCCTAAAACGTAAAACAGCTTGCTTGCATTGCTCACTTTTAATGTTAAAAGGACATTCATCAATGGAAGTCTCTAGAAGCTGGAACTATTGGTGAATCAGTCATACACTGGATTCACCAAAGATGCAACAAACATGCAAACTTCAACAAGACGACTTTTTCTTTATATACAGAAAAATGGTATTATTGATAAGGACCAGTGGAGTAACTCTTTCCTTCCCATGGGAAAATGTGGTATAGAACCAGACAGTAGAGATCTGCTACACTGCTTCAAACTCCAAAGGCTTTTACTGGATCTCTTTCTGCCTGTGTAATAAATAAAAGTGTGGGAGTAAGATAGGAAGTTACAGAAATAAACTTCCCACACTTCACAAGGTACACATTTTGTGAATGTTGAAACTACACAACTGAGATTAATGGTAGTATACATAAATGTACAATTCAAAATTAAAGCAGCCTTTCAGAAGTCTAAAAGCACAAAGATTTCAATGTAATCATGTGAATGACTATGCAATTGATACACAGACTGTAATGAGCCAATAACATCCATCTCAAACAGCTTTCATAGAATCTTTTTTCCACCTCATTTTATGCTTTCTAGTCCCTTTACATTATTCCATCATCTCTTTGCTTAATATATTTTAATGATTGGAAAGCCAGAAGGGAAACATATTGCAGTTTTGCTGGACACAAGATCTACCAAACACATGGACATCGCGTACATCCCTCTTCTCGTTGATTCAATTTCACAAAAATGGTAATGCAGGACTATTAGAGTCTATTTAAAATGTTTGGTAGGGAAAAATCAAACTATAAATGAGTTTTCTCCTCAGAGATATAAACGTGAAGCACGAGTCCCGATATTCGAACAGATTGCAAAAAGTAGGATATCGTTCACTTATTTTCTTCAAACGTACCTTTTTTGGTAATTTTTCCAACAATAATTCCACTCGTCAGTGGAAAAAAAAGGTCTTGTAAAATAAAAACTAAGACAGCTACTGCAACCTCACTTAACTTTTCCTCAGTAGCAACGCTTCACGTTTGAAGCAACTTACTTTGGCCCTTATGTAACCAGCTCTGTATATGAGTATTATGTTTGATTTTAGTCTTTAGGTGAGCTTTGATGGTGACACTCCAGCTGAATGTCCCAATACTGGGCAGTGTTTGAGGCCTACAATGCTCCATGTGGCCTAGCCTGGCCTGGACCAGTTCCCCCTTCACAGTGAACCACATCTTGGGTACTATTGCATTTTCTTTTCTTTCGGGTTAGCGGCGAATGAGTGGCTTTGTCAACGAAAACTGATTTCAATATGAGAACTCGCTCTGGAAAAAAAAGAGGCGACAGCACCGAAAACATGAAAGACGCACTTACCGTCCCTGGAGGTGCCCATCAACTGGTCCAACATCGCTCTCATTTGAGCCTGAGCAGACATTGTGGCTTGCTTTAAGATCTCAGGTTGCGTTTGGTGATAATTTTAAAACAAACTATGTCATAAAGATAAGTGACGGAAAATACTCCAGCAGAACCCCGAGGCCTAACTCGGCGCTCTCCCTCAGCAACGCACCGACCTTCCGGTCCCCAGAACCCGCCAGCGCGGTACACGCCGGGAGCTGTAGTCCATACCTCCCGCTTATGCCTCTACGGAAGCCGGCAAGAGGACTACAATGCCCAGAGAGCCTCGCGCCTAGCGGTGGGGCATACTGGGAGATGTAGTCCGTTCCTGAGGTCCATTTCACCATAGAAGGCGTGAACAGACTACAGTACCCAGAGACCACAGCGGGGCTCCACACATGCGTAGTGGCAGACAGCAAGGCGGCCATGATGAAGTGGCAGGTAGCTGTGTGTGAGGCTGAGGGAAAGTTGTCTGTTTTTCTGTCTTCGTGTGGATTGGCTTTCAATTGCTGCTGACTGTAAGAATTACGTTTTCTGTTGTTTATTTTCTGTATACGTTTGTGACTGGTGTCTAAAGTAGTTGTTTCTATTCGACTGCCTTATTTACAGCCTGTTTCTGTGGGGTGTAAGCTTGTGTTTGTGCTTTTTTCTGGCTTACTCTCTCTAATTATATTTATTCCTCAGATTGTCAGGCAGTCAATTCTTTCAGCCGCGTAAATTAAATACATCCCAGCAAAAATATGTCCTCATTTTGTTGATCTTTCGTTGTTCTTACAGGTGAAGTAAGATCACGTTGGTGCAGGATTAAGAAATAGACCTTGTTTTTGCTCAATTGGAGAAAAGTTGCCGGATGAAACTGGGGTTGTACATCAAAAGTTTATTTTGGTTCAAATTTATTTCAGTCGCAGACAAATATAATTATCAGGAATGCAGCACTGGTGATCACCTTGATGTACTTATTAGCTACTGCCTGTAGAATATGATAAAAGCTATCAAATGTGCTGGAGGGCTACAAGTTTCTTCAGTAGCTTCCTGTAGTGTAGCAACACTGTTTGGTATTCAGAAATATTGCAATAAGAACTTCCTGGTCTCTAAATCTTTTATGTCCAACTCAGAGATACCTTTCTGATACTAGCTTGTGGAGAATTTTGGGAAAAAAATTCTTTAGAGAGGTCAACCACATTCAATTAAATGCTGTTTCAAAAGTTATTGTGTGAGAGTGAGGGAAAAGAAGCTTGAGGTGCTATGTTTACAAGGTGAGATTGGGGTAGATGGGGGTTATCCTACTAAATAGGATGATGGATAAGAAGCATTGGTGGAAGAAAAAAAGTTACTTTGGTGGAACTGATAAATAAGAAAGGAATGCTCATCTTATTGGGATTGCACAAAGACACCCCCATTTGGAAAAGCACGGACTGATTAGGGATAGTCAACATGGCTTTGTCAGTGGGAAATCATGTCTTGCTAACTTGATTGAGTTTTTTTCTGAAGAAGTGGATTGGTGAAAGCAGAGCAGTGGGTTTTGTCTATTTGGACTTCAACTTAGTTGTTCAACAAGGCTCTGCATGGTAGATTAATTGACAAGGTTAGCTCACATGGAATACAGGAAGAACTAGCCATTTGGATACAAGATCGGCATGAAGGTAGGAGACAGAGGGTGCTGATGGAGCATGTTTTTCAGACTGGAGGCCTGTGACCAGTGGTGTGCTACAAGGATCGGTGCTGGGTCTACTGCTTTTTGTCATTTATATAAATGATTTGATGTGAATATAGGAGGTATAGATAGTACATTTGCAGTTGACACCAAAATTGGTGGTGAAGTGGACAGCAAAGAAGGTTACCTCAGAGTACAATGGGATCTTGATCAGAAGGGCTGATGCGCTGAGGAGAGATAGTTGGAGTTTAATTTAGATAAATGTCAGGAGCTGCATTTTGGTAAGGAAAATCAGGGCAGGACTTATACATTTAATGGTAAGGTCCTGGGGAGTGTTGCTGAACAAAGAGACCTTGGAGTGCAGGTTCATAGTTCCTTGAAAGTGGAGTCATAGGTAAACAGGGTAGTGAAGATACACTTGCCATTATTGTTAGTGCATTGAGTACAGGAGTTGGGAAGTCATGTTGCAGCTGTGCAGGACATTGGTTAGGCATTCAGTTTTGATTTCCCTGCTATAGGAAGGATGTTGTGAAACTTGAAAAGATTTACCAGGATGTTGCCAGTGTTGGAGGGTCTGAGCTATAGGGAGAGGCTGAATAGGCTGGGGCTGTCTTCCCTTTGGGTTCGAAGGCTGAAGGGTGACCTTATAGAAGTTTATAAAATCATGAGGGGCATGGATAGGGTGAATAGTCAAGGTCTTTTCCCCAGGCTAGGGGAGTCCAAAAATGAAGGGAATAGGTTTAAGGTGAGAGAGGTAAGATTTAAAAGGGACCTATTGGGCAACTTATTCATGCAGAGTATGGAGCATGTATGGGATGAATTGCTAGGGGAATAGGGAGGCTGACACAATCACTGCATTTAAAAGGCATGTGGGTGGGTACAAGAATAAGAAAGGTTTAAAGGGATATGGGCCAAATGCTGGCAAATAGGACTAGATTAATTTAGGATATCTAGCCGGCATGGATGTGTTGAACCAAAAGGTCAGTTGCCATGTTGTACAACTCTGTGACTCTCAGATGGTGTGAGAGATTGTGTCAAAGGCTGAAATGACGGAGAAGTGCAAGGCGAGACTGTGGATCAAAGTTAGAGAGGATGTCAAATTAGATTAGAGATATTCTGGTTTTGTATGAGAGAGAGAAACTCCAATGGTGAGACGTGAACAAGGCCTCGTGAAGAAAATAGACAATGAGCATGTCAAAAGAAGTTTATCCCATATCATTTCGAGCCTTGACAGTAAGAGAAAGAAGAGCAATAAGAAAGGGATTTGAATTAGGATTGAGGGGTGTGGTTAGTGAGAAATAGTTAGAATATTCAAGAGGGATTAAAGGAAGGGTGATGTGACTGGACGATGGAGAGGAGGCAGGAGAGAACAGCTCCGAAAAGTCAACTGACGAAAACAAAATCCCTCTGTTGAACAGGTGCGAGCTGAGCAGCAGGAGAATGGGGAAACTACTTGGAGAAACCAAGCATTCAGTCAGTTATCAGTGTTCCCAAAGGCATGCTGAGTCTTGCCAATATATCACGTTACTATATGGTCACGCTAGATTATTGCTGTGACAGTTATGTTTTGTGAGAAAATATTCTTGTAATGTCACAAGACAAACTTTAATCCATTTTGATGTTGACATCAAATATGCTGATCACCACTTTCTTCCAATAGAATAATTTCCCTGTTTCTCTTCTGCTGCCTGTCCTACTAACTGTAGTTACTTTGGGTTTAGTAATTCTATCGCACAGAAGCTCTTTGTTAAGGTGAACACAAGGATGTGAAAATAAGAGTCTAGTTGAAGCAATTTAGAAATGTTTTTAACCAAACATTCAGAATAGCAAAAAGCTTTGTATATTGTGATTTTAAACTATGTCTTTAATCTTGCAGGAAGAATAAAGGTTTGCTCAAGAGAGAGAAGACAGTTTGAATAAGAATTTGTATCCCATTGTGATGTAGACTGGGAATATGACAGAGAACAAAGATTCAGAGGGAGAGATACATCCTCTGAAAAATGATGAGACCAGAAGCCAAGACACGAATGAAGTTTCTAACAGGCACAAAGAAACCAAAATCAAGAAATTTACAAAATTTGGACAGCTTTCCCGTTGGAGAACTGCTGCTTTCTTCATAGTTTTATTTTTATGTCTGATTGTGGTGTTTGCATTTTCCTTCATAATTCCTTGTCCAGTGAGGCCTGTGTCACAAAGGGCCTGGAACAGAACATTTGAAAATGCAGGTAATGTTTAACTGAGTTAACTATGTTCCCTGTAATGCATGTGTCATATATAATACGCTATAATAATGCAAGCATCTTAAGTTTGGTGGCTTTCATTTTAATTCAGGCTCTTTCATCTGCATTTATTTCAGCATAAATTTTAATTATTAGCTTTATGGACAAAACTAATGCTTCCCTTAGTATTTAAAGTTGTACTGGAAACACTTGAAATATGATTTGTTTGGATTCTTAATGTATTTGATAATTGAATAGGTACAAAGAATTCACATGAAATTAATGAAACAGAAGTAACTATATTTGAAATATGTTGTTAACACACTGATATTGTGTTATTTGTTTGTTACAGTGAGTTATCCTTTTTTCACGCTGTGGGATATGAACAGAGACAAAGTTAGCGATGTGGTATTCGCATTGAAGTCCTCCAATGACACTATAATTAATGGATCATGTGCAGCTGAGGGTGAGGGAGTATTATAATCACGTAGAGCATTTTTTCCTCATTTTTATTCCAATGTTGCTCAGACTCCTGTGTTTCATTACCTCACTGTTACATTGCCTTCATAATTACAGTTTTTCAGATGGTGGTTCAACAAAGCTGTTTAGAATTATATAAACTGAATGGCGGTATCTTAATTATGTATCTCTGAATGGACAGTCCCTCCAATTTTATTGGTAGTAACTTCAACCCTATTCTCTTTCTGTGACAATGTTACCACTAAAAAACCTCCCAATCTTAGTTTAGCACTATTCACAGTTTGCAAAGTTACCGATGATGCATCATTGTTTCAATGTATACAGTTTCCAATGTTGATGAGGAGAGGGGAAAAAAAAATGAAAGATCATCGAGGTACTTTAACTCTGTTTTTGGTAAAAATGCTGTGTATTCTTACGAGCTACCACTTTTATTGCTGTGTACTTTACAATTTTTGAAAATGAGTTTTCATATTTCTATTGCAAACTTTGCACCAACAATTTCTCCTCACCTTAGTAACGAATGGATCAAACTCGTGTCAGTGCACGTTAAATTACGGACTAAACAATATGACCTACTGTATACAGGCAAAGAAAAATATTAGCATGAAAACTTGTATGTCTAAAGGCAGAAACAAAGAAGCTACACATGAATTGCAAGTATAATCTGAGGGAGATTTCTGAGCAGGAAACTATTGCTGATCATTTCATCAGATTTGGCTTCTGTTAATCTTTGTGCCAATCACACAGTGCTGAATTCAAGCTGCAAAAAGTAATGTAATCTTTCATATGTACCAAACCGTTTAACTTGTCCAACATTATCATGTCTTTGTCCAGTAATTTATTTTGCATCTTTTTTTTTTTTAAGGCCTCCCATTTCCCTGTGCCTATGTTACTGCGCTGTCAGGAACAAATGGCAGTCTGCTGTGGCAGCGAGCTTTAGCAGAGGATGTTCAGCATGTGCAATGTGGAATTGAAAATCTCAGTGGTGCAAAGTCTTCAGGATGCCTCATCATTGGAACCCCTTACCTCCTTAGTGCAATCAGTTCTTCAGGTATGCATTTTGGAGTAAATTTATCTTTTGGATCGTGTTCTCCTGAGCACTTTATTTTCTTAAAGGTTTTAGTTATTTGGAAAGGCAGCACCATAGAACAGGTGTTTAAGTTGACATGTTAATTTAATGAGAAAGCAAATTGAGAGACAAGGAGAAGAGGATAGGTCCCACAACAATGTTGTCGATTTTCATCTGAAAATAGCCTAGCAAGCCACTCTGTATTCAAGAATGTGTGTCTAAGGTTTTAGAGTAGATTTGTAGCTCGGGTTGTGGATGTTGTGATTGGTTGGCTGGCCGAGCTAGTTTGTTGTTCTGCAGACGTTTCATTACCCTGCTGGGTAACATCATCAGTGCAGCCTCCGATGAAGCGCCGTTGTGTTTTCCCGCCTGGTATTTAAACTCTGGTGTCCGTTGAGCTGGATTACCTCACTTCCGGTTTTCCTTTGCAATGGAGTGTATGTGGGATCGAGTTCTATGTGTTTGCTGATGGCTTTCTTCGTGGAGTACCAGGCTTCTAGGAATTCCTGTGCTTGTCTCTGCTTTGTTTGTCCCAGGATCTTGGTGTTGTCCCAATTGAATTGGTGGTTCTCCTTATCCATGTGGATAGAGATGAGTGAGTATGTGAGAATGTGTCACCTGCACTTACTCAAGGGGCAATTCAGAATGGACAATCAATGTTGGCCTTGCTAGTGATGCCAAAATTTCATGAATTAATAAAAAGTTGATTATGATTTTTTTAAAGCAGATAAATTTTGACTAGATTTTCTAGTCTAATTTCCACTAGCAATCTTTGCAATTATTAAATTGGGTGATTTGGTGCTCATGTGAACTTAAATTGCTAAAAATGTGGTCTGAGGACAAGGAATACTTAGTTTGATCACAGGCTTACTACCAAACTCCATAAAAGGCAAAGAACTGTGATCCTCGGTTTTCCACTTGTTTTACTCGTAATAAAGGAGAAAGCAGATATTTAGGCCATCGGTAAAATGTTACTTTATTGTGCATTGTTCTAGGCAGAGCAAAGTTAGTGGACAATATTTCAGGGGCCCTGGAACCTTATTAAAAAAATGTCTGCACTGTACCTGAATGTGCTGTTGTAGAGGCTCCATACTGTCAAATTTGCAGCTGGAGTGTTATTAACAGTCAGTGCATCCTGACTGATGGGCTTTAGGGTTTTGTTTTTGTGCCAATTCGTCTGTCTGGGTGTCGAGCTAGTAGTTACAATGAAGGAGGTCACGAGATGCAGTTAGGAGCAATTTAAGTACAAAGTAATATCAGAAACAAGTCAGTCCATGAAAGAGACAGTGTTCCTGGTTTACTAATTTCTCATTTATAAATAAGTGAGAGTACATCCGTAAAATGTCGTTTACTTTGGCTGTCATTTGTTGTCAGTGACCCAGTATAATTGTTTGCATTCTATCTTGACACTGAAATCTTTCACAACTGTCTGCTGAAACACATACTTCAGCTGAAAGGTGCTATATTGGATTAAGAAAACAAGTGGGTCCTATTGTTGAACCTCCACATTATGCTATAGTATAATTGACAGTTTGAGCACACTACTAAAACTCAAATGTCCACACTGCTTGTGGGAGTGTAATTTGTGGAAGCAATTAATGTGTTTTCTGTGCTAAAGACATGATACGTCTAGGGGGTTGGGAGTGGTAACTGTATTGAAGAAGAGAAAGGATAAAATATTTGCATTTTGCCGTACCTTTGTCAATAACCAGTCTTCTCCGTGTGCTTTCCAACCAATGAAGCACTTTGTAAGCGTAGCCAATTTGTGCAAAGCAAGCTCCCACAAATAGCATTGGGATGATGTCCAGAAAATATGTTTTTTGAGATCTTGATCAAGAATTAAATATTGCCTAGGACACTGAGGGGAACTTCCTTGTTCAGTATAATACCATGGGATCCTTTACATCCATCCAAACAGGTAAGTAAGGGTCTCATTTAAAGTCTCATCTGAAAGACATCACCTCCAACAATGCAACCTTCCTTTGGTATTACATTTGATTGTGAGTCTGGATTTTTGTGGTTGGAGATGTGCTGTACTGGATTAGCTTTTGTGTTAGTGGGGGTGGGGGATGGGGATAGGGGTTGGGGTGAAGGTCAGAGACCCCAAAAGTTTCCTCTTTCCATATCCAGAACACATCATTCTGCTTGAAGGAGAGGTGGGGGTGGGAAACGGGTGAAGAAATTGGGATCAGGGGTCAATGGGTGTGTTCAGCTTCTGGTGGGAGAGAGGAGTGAGGTTGGACGTAGATTGGTGGTAGCAGGGCTTGGGGAAGTCACATGCTTGGCAGAGGAATTGGCGAGATGTCTGTAATCATGAGCAAGATAGAGAAGAGGTATAAGGCTACAGATGGCAAGAACTCCTGATTCAGGCATGCCATCCCAGGACACAAGTGTACAGATACTCCTGAATCTGTCAAGCCCTTGGCTGACTGTATCTTTGGGAAAGTTAAATTTGAAAAACTGAATGACAGTGAGGCTTGCAGCAAGGAACCGCTGCTTACTGCTCAACTTCCCACCTCAGTCAAAGCCATAAGTAAATTAGATAGGCTATTACAACAATCTCTTATTTTCCTGATCACCCTTCTGCAAGCAAATGGATATTTCTTTGCCTGGAAAAGCAAGCTTGGTGTGATATGGGGAACTAAAAATACAAATTAATTTTAGGCAGTAAATTAATTTGTGGGAAAGGTCAATGACTCCCTATAAATAGCTGAGGAAATGATTGCAATATATCTTAACAATTTTAGATAATACAAAGTTGAGTGGAAAGGTAAGCTGTGGGGAGGATACAGAGAAACTGCATAGAGGTGAGAACATTATGGGAAACAAGATGGCAGATGGAGAATAATGTAGTGAAGGATAAAATTATTCACTTCAGTTGAAAGAATAGAAAAGCAGGATTTTTTAAAAGATGTGAAACTTGTATATTTTGATTTTCACTGAGAATTGGTTGCGTTCACACAAGGAATGTGTACATTAAGCAGTTAGGAAAGCAAGTACATGTTAGCCTTTCTTGCAAGGGGATTTAAGAATGACAATACAGAAGTCTTACTATAGTTGCACAGGGCTTTGATGAGACCCACATCTGCAATACTGTGTGCAGTTTTGGTCTCCATGTTTAAGGAAGGCAGGGGGTCGGTTAGCTCAATTGGCTGAGCAGCTGGTGTGCAATACAGAATTACAGCAGTAGTGTGGGTTCAATTCTAGTACTGGCTGAGGTCATAATGAAGGTTCCACCTTCTCAATCTCTCCCCTCACCTGAGGCTTGGTGACCCTCAATTTAAAGCATCAACAGCTGTCACTCTGTAATGAGAGAGAGCAGCCTATGACCCTCTGCGACTCTACCTGTCCCTTTATTTGAGCAAGGCAGTGTTTGCATTGGAGGCCATACAACAGAAGTTCACTCAATTGGTCCCTGGGGTGTGGGAATTGTTGGGTACATAGTGTTTATGTTCTTCGGACCTTAAAAGAATGAGAGGTGATTTCATTGAAATATGCAAGATTCTTAAGAGCTTGATTAATTTTTAGACCCAGGTTGATATAAAACACAGACCAGGTTCCTATATTTATCAATAATCATTATTTATTACAGGTAATCAGATTAAGCTAAATTAAGTCAAGATTACAAATTAAAACTTCAAACCCCTTATAAACTCCTCCTTACACACAGATAACATAGACAAGAAAAAAAAAATGGATGGAAGGAAAATAGGGAAACCATCCTGTAATCTTTGTTCCCAAGATCTTTTGGGGTTGTTTTTGCTGGTCTGAATTTTCTCCTTGACCTTTTTCAAAATGCTTTCACTGTTTGGAAGAAGCACTGGGTGGCTGTTTCACTTACGAGAAGCCTGTGACTTATCCAATACAAGTGATAACTAGCAGCATCTGTTGAAGGAAAGATAAAGTTGTTTTTCTTCTGGTTTAAAACGGATTGTGTAGCGAACTGAGAGAAAGAGAAAGAGAGAGTGTTTTTGCCTGCTAGTACTATGCTGATTTCTCGCCTGGTCTGAACTACTGCACTCTACTTTGCTCACAATCAATCATCTTGTTGGCAACAGAGGTCCTTTGTCATTTATAATTGGTCCCTAGTTCACAAACAATCAATTTCACTTGTAAACAACCCATTGGCGCAAGTTTGTCAGCACATTGCTGGAACCCACAGTAAACAGAAATAGGTATCAAATTGCTTACTGTCAAAACATGCAGTCATCTTTGTAAATACCTGGGTTTCAGAACAGTTCCTTTTCAATTCAATCCATGTTTCTTAAAATAAAAGTACAAAAATTAAAGCACACAGTTTTCACAACACCTGTATGTAATTGTGGGAACAGTAATGCTGGCTATGGGTGGGCTGTTTGTCTCAATTTCCGACATGGAAGTATTAGGGATATCAGGTAATATAAATAGCTATGGTTTAATCTGTAAAATAAAACAAAGAACTACAGATGCTGGAGATCTTAAACAAACCGGTTGATTAAGTCCAAGATAAAATGAAGTTGGGGGTTAATAAAATGGCTCATTAGCCTTTCTACTTGGATACATGGTCCATATGATTCATGTTGCAATGGAATTGACCTTTGAGAGGAGAAAAGTCAATAGGAAGTCTTGTAGTAACGGTTTGTGGATTTCCTAAACTACCACTGAACTTCACAGGTTGAAGTCTTCTGTCATTTTTTGAGATAGAAAGCAGACAGCCATTTCTATCTCAACAACACTTGCAGGAGGACTTTGCCCTCGGATTGAGGAAACTGAGCTCATGGTGATTCAAAGGAGGCTGAATGATTTGCCTTCTTGAGCTAGAGTGAAAGAATCCCCTGGGTAATTTTCAGAGTGAAAATCAGTTTTGGGATTCGAAGGTGCTTGGCTGGGAAAGAGAAAAGGAAGTATCCTTTGGGAAGTTAATGATAGTTCAAGGAGAATAAAGTGGCCATTTAAGGGGCGCTGTAAAGGACAACAGTGGTGTTTTTTTTTCATTTCCATAATTAAAGAGAAAATCCTTTCTGTAATTTTGAGTGTGTTACCTACAAGAATAGCAAGAAGGGTCTAGGCCCGAAACGTCAGCCTTCCTGTTCCTCTGATGCTGCTTGGCCTGCTGTGTTCATCCAACTCTACACCTTGTTATCTCAGATTCTCCAGCATCTGCAGTTCCTACTATCTCTGTAGCATTTAGTTAATAGTGCTTGTAGTTTTCAAATTTTAGTAGACGTCTTAAAAACTTGATATCTTGCTCACTGGAATTCAGCTATCATTTTAAAGGTTACTGGTCTCTCTGGGGATTGTAACATTACTTCTTTTATACTTTTTTTTATTGCTTCATTGCAGAATGAAACGTTTTGACTGGTAATCTGGTTAAAAAATGAATGACCCAGAAATCTGCAGCCTTCAAATGTATCAATTGCTGTCAATATTCTTTGGATAACACCATAAGGCTTTATATGCAGTTTGAATTTTGTGGACACTAAAAATATCTCGTTATTTTTCAGGAGATACATTGTGGATCCTTAATGCTAGTTTTGTTGTTAATCTTTCTGTGATTGGACCTGCATTGATACTTCCAGATCTAGATGGTGATGGTGTTGGAGACTTTTTGATCTTTTTTACACCAAATCAGGTATGGAAAAGAGAATTTTTCTCCTGTTTATGATGTGATTAGCTGTGGTTGTGATTTGAGGTGCGAGTATTTTTCCTTTTCTGTAATCTACCACTTGTTATTATGATGCTTATTTGTCGGAGAGCTCTGTCAGGACTTTACAGAAAGGACCACAGAGTAAGCTTAATCAAGTAGCTCTTCTAAAGAGTTGGCACAGAAACAGTGGATGAAATGGCCTCCTTTATTTCTGTAATTCTATATTGTTACTTCTGTTGTTCAGAAATTCTAAGTGCTTAGAACTGGAACGATATTGAGGCCTGAATTTTCTGCTCAGTTACTTGTCTTTTACAACACAATTGCCTGTCTCAGTATAAAAGATAATGGAATTTAAGCACAAAACTAATCATACTTCCCAGGATAAAGAAATTACAATTGGCAACTTAGGTTTATGTCCGAGCCTTCAAAAAGGCTCCTGAAAGATTAAGCTGGAAGTTTTGGTTGAAACAAAGTTATTGACAACAATAATTGTTTAGTCTCTACACACTTAACATCTGTGATTCTTCTGGGGTGCCAGTAGCATTTCAACAATTTCCTATTTTGTGGCCCTCATCACCGCTACATGACGGACATCCAATCCCCTTTACACCTCCATCCTCCATCAAATTGGTCAGAGGACTCTGCTTCTTCTTTGAATGATGGCCTGACCAGTGTCCTCCAACGCTCCCTCTGGCTGAACTTTGTTCCCTCATTGAACAATCTCTCCTTTAACTTGTTTCACAGAACAAAAAGGTGTGGCCACAGGCACCTGAATAGGCCCTAGTTATTCCTGTCTTTTTGTGGGGTTTGTGCAATGTTCCTTATTCCAGTTCTGCTCAAGGGTCCCTCCCACAACTCTTTTTTTTTTGTTCTTCTGTCAAATTCGCTGTATAAGTGATATTCTCATCTGGAATGGAAACAAATAATTAAATTTTCTCCCAATTTCCACCCTCTCTCTTTCACTTGGTACGTCTCTGACTCTTCCCTTCCTTTCCTTGACTTCTCTGTTTTCACTTCTGATGATAGCCTCTCTACTAATATTCATTATCAACCCATTGACTCCCACAGCCGTGATTACGTTTTGTCATGCCCTGCTTGCTAATTCCTTTCTCCCAGTTTGTCATAGAATCCTTGCAGTGGGGAAAGAGGCCATTTAGCCCATCGAGTCTGCACCAATGCTCCAGAGAGCATCCCACCCAGACCCAGCCACCCCGACCCTATCCCCATAACCATGGCTAATCCACCTAGCCGGCGCACCTTTGGACTGTGGCAGGAAACTGAAGCACACGGAAACTCACGCAGACAACATGCAAACTCCACACAGATAGTCACTCAAGTCCTACAGTGATTCCCTGATACAATCTCTATCATCCCCAACACCTACCTCATCCACCTCACCATCCCTTGCAACTACAGAAAATGTGACACTTAGCTATTTACCTCCTCCCTTCTCAATGTGTAATGTCCCAATACTCCTTCTAGGTGAAATGACAATCGACTTGTACTTCTTTGAATCTAACCCAATGTGTTCACGGTTCACAATGTAGTCTTCTCTGCGTGAGGGAAGACCAAACACAGATTGGGTGACTGAGTGGATGGTTCCACAAAGCAGTCAGCAAGCATGACCCCTGCCTTCCGGTCACTCATGATTTTACTACACCATCGTGCTCTGACCCTCACATTTTTACCCTGATCTGCTGCAGTGTTCCACTGAAGCCCAAGTCAAGCTGGTGGAACAGCGTACCTTCTGTTTAGGCACTTTACAACCTTGCGGAGTCAATATTGATTTGAATGACTTCACACTGCAAGCTCTGAACTCTCTTCCATTTTGTTTGTTTTATAAGCAAGATTTTCCCTTTTGAAAGCCAAGTTGGTTATTCATAACTCTATTTCTCATTTTATATATTCTATTTTCTCCTTTAGTTCAGATTTCATTATTCTTCCTACTACCAATATTAAGCTGATGATCTACAATTGCCTGGGCCTGTTTACAATCTGTTCCTAAATATAGGAATTACATTATCTCCCAGTTTTCTGACACAACCCTTTTCTCTAATAAATTACTAAGTATGAATGGAATGTCCTGGCTCTCAGTTCTCTCTCTTCTAAAATGCCTAGATGTAATACATTTAGATTTAGGTTCTATCCTTCTTCCAGTTTCTGTCTAGTTTATTCAACATGTCACCTTTGTATTTTAAATGCACTTGTATAGCTATTCATCATTCAATGTCATGTCTACCTGTTCCCATATCATGTCCTGTACCAAAGCAACATAATTTTTTAATATATTTACCATTTCTCTATTGTTCCCTGTCATATTGTCTGTCCCCAAGTAGTCCTATTTCTGTCACAGTCTTTTATTTATTGATACACTGTGAAATATTTTAATTTCATTTTCCTTGAT